TAATTAAAAAATAAAAAATAAAAATAAAACCACTTAGAGGGGCCGGAGAGATGGCTCAGTAGGATAAGCACTTGACTGGCAAACGCAAGGATCTGAGTTCAATCCCCAGTTCCACCAAAAAAAAAAAAAAAACAACAGAGATAACTTAGCTTTACAAATCATGACCAGCCATAAAATACTTTTGACATGTAAGTAACAATAATGTTAATCCATGAATTCCTGGTCTCTACTACTGGTTGGAGATTTCTTTCTCTTCATCATACTCTACTTCTACTGGTCTTCTCATATTATAGTACTTGCATTCTTATTATACCAACATTACCAGAAATTACTCTGCATTCAATACAAAAGTTATACACCATTAATAGTTATTAGAAATGTTTTATTGTAAAAATACCATATGGAATATACGACCTATGGTTTTTACTTCAAACTTAATTTAAAGAATGGATTACAAGAAGACATGAGTAGAAATAAGGAAGTTGTTAACAATAAGTCAGGCGATAGGAGTTTAAAATTAAGAATCAGTGTGGTAGTAATAGCGGAGATAGGGGGATTGACTCACCTTTGAGTGAGAAACAATTTCCCAAGTATGAAAAATAGAATCTGAAGGTTTCAGTTTGTTTTTGTTTTTGTTTTCTTTTTTTTTTTTTTTTTTAGTTTTGGCTTGTACAGCCATTTAGGAAACTCTAAACAGATTTTAGTTCTCTTGAATATGTTAAATTTGAAATACAAAGCAAAATGGAAATGCTAACTTTAGATTTAGTGAAATTTCCATAAACATGGGGAGAAAAAGGAACCATGTGAGATATTTTTGTGCGCGTAAGTTAAAACAATGTCTCTTACACAGCCGCTGAGTACACAGTAAGTGGTTTCCAGTAGGAGCTTGGTCATTTGTTTCTAAGCTAGGACTCAAGTGAAAACAGAAATTCCCATACCTGCACAGTAACTAAAAAGTCTTTGGTACCAAAAATTTTTAATGCCTAGATGAATAACTTTTATATAACATTTAGTTACATTAGGTTTTCACTGAAAAGTTGTTTGTGCACTATCGAGGTTCTCTCAACTGAGGTTTTTTCCCCTTTCAAGTATAATTTTATGTAGAAGCTGAGCTCAAAGAGGAAAAAAGTACCTTGTAACATAAAGGGTTAGGGCTCCAGTCACAGTGACAACCACAAGGGCATTAAACATATAGAGAATTATCTGTCCTTGGCAGAGTGACATCAAATAACTCAGATGCAGGGCCGAGAATGTTGCTCAGTGCTGGAGCCCCACATCAGCATGCACACAGCCCTGGGTTTGATTCTCTGCACCAGAAACAAAAGACAATGCCGGTGAAAGTGTTTGGCGCACAACCTAGCACACCGAAAATACTGAATAAACTAACATTTATGAATATTAGTTTATTCAATACTTTAAAACAAACAAACAAACAAAAACTGGGCGGGGGAGATGGCTCAGTAGAGTTAAGCGCTTCCCCGGCAAGCGCAAGCACCCGAGTTCAATCCCCGGTTCCACCAAAAAAACCTCAAACGAAGCAAAAGCCAACCTGAAGCAACTGAAGCAATTCTTTTTAATTAGCCAGAGGAAGGGGGGAAATATT